TCAATACTTGAGCACATGCGATATTTCAGTTTTTTCTTTTTAATAAATGTACAGACATTTTTAAAATTCTGTTTTCACTTAGTCATTATGGGGTAATGAGTGTAGATTAATGAGAAAAAAAATGAATTTGAACGATTGTAGTATCAGGCTTACAACATAACAAAATTGAAAAAAGTGAAGGGCGTCTGAATACTTTCTGAATGCACTGTATATTGACTGGCCAGCCAGCTTGATTTCATGAAGTGTAAGTGCGTGAGAAGGCAGCTATTTCTTCTCTGTCCCTTGGCCAGTATCCCATAGGCAAATTTTGACTTTGAAAATTTAGTTTACCAGCTGTTCTTAATATTATAGATGGCGGTAAGATACTAGTTTTCATGTATTTCGTGGGGCCTGTGCTAGTGCTTACAGCATGTTTTATGAAAGTGTCATCGTGACTGACCTGCCATAGTAAAAAGGGCACGTAGTTTAACATTCAAAGTGTTTTCAGTAATGCATCCTACAGATAAATATTTGCTCCTTTAAATGTTCAATTTGGGGGTACTTTATGCAAAATAATACGTTTATGGTAGTTCATTGATATGTGGCAGCTCTCCATCACCTTCCTTCCTATAAAGCTGTGATCTTCCAAAAAAAAAAAGTAATCATTTCTACTTTATCCATGCTGAGTATAATTAGTTGTTTTCCTGAGGTCAGGTAATATAACATGTGTATTTACTGGAAATTTTTATATGAAAAGCATTAAAACTAGGTACTTCGAACTCAGTTAATAGCACTGCATCAGCTTAAATCTGTTTTCCAGTTGTGTTGGTATTTCAAGACTTAGACTTTCCACACAAAAATTACATGTTCTGAGTATTCTGGAGGATGTAGTTCCCAGGACCCTTATTTAATAGATTTTGATTTAGTAGACTTAAGATTTAACAGACAAGAATTGCTCCATCCAGGTTTGGCCTGAATTTCAGGCAATATCAGGCTGCCTGAACGAAGTGGCTGCTGGCCAACACAACTGAAAGGTGATAACCCAGCCAAGAGTACCATTCCCCTGCTGGGGCTAGCCACTATGTGGCCACTGTTGCTTAGCAAGGCAGTTCCAGTCCCTAACAGCTCCAGTAGTGGCATTTGTGCAGCGGGCATTTTTTCTGCCCCTCTCTCTGATTAGTGCTATTATAGCAACATGCCCAAGTGTGTATGGGGCTCAAAGAATCCCCTTTGACATTTAATCCCCTTTGGACTTCAACAGACCCTTTACAGGAAACCCCTTAAATCTAGGGTTTCCTGTAATAGAGTGCACCAGCTTGGAAGAATCTGCAATGAGAAATCTCCTTGGATAAATCCACGCTGTAATTTGTAGAAGCAATCTGTATGTAACCATGCAATCTTATTCAGATGCCATTTTACCCAGTTGTATATGGATATATCCAGTATAGCTTTATTTCTCAGAATGGGCCTTTTGAATTATTTGTTAACCAGTGGGTGGTCACAAACACAGGCTCCTGATGGATAGACCAAATGCCTTAGGTGAGATGCAATAGAGCTCGTGCATACTGAGCTGGTCTTGAATTCAGTTTTCTTTGAGGACCACAATAAGCACAGCAAGGAAATTAGATCTTGGAGTCCTCAGTCTGAAGGTGCAACACTACATAAATTCCAGGAATGTGCAATCTTGCTAACAAAGGAAGGGCTTTGTACCCTTCATGATAGGAAGAGAGCTGCATTAGCCTATGGTGACAAATCAGGAGGAGTCTGGTAGCACCTTTTTTGACTAGCAAATTTTATTAAAAGGCATTTTCATGAGCTCCACAGAACATGTTAGTTGGAAAAGGTGCTATCAGACTCCGGGTTTTTTTGTACCTTTTATGAGAAATTCTGTGAACCATTGATGGTATGTGGGATCACTAGATGATGGGTTGGTTTCCTGTGGCTTGTTAGGTTCCACTTCCATTTATTTGCTGCAGCTTATAAAAGAAGGCTTGTGATGCAGGAACTAGAACTTGCCATTACAACTAGACTTTTTCTGGCCAATCAAGGAGTCTTTGGGAACAGAGTGAGGTGGCATCTCAACATTGACTTCACGTGGA